TAGATTAATAACAGTCTGCACATGTTATAATTTTGTTTCCTATGATTTAATTTATTGAGAAACACATTCTAGATGATTGTGTGAAGTTTGAAAGTCTATTTTTCAAATTACCAAATAATTTGATGGCATATGCATTTGCTCTCTAATGTTGTGGGTTTGATGTAATTTTGTTTCTTAATTTTATTCCCTTGTTCTAATTAAATCCTTTGGTTTAGCAAAATATTCCAATGTTTCCTTATTTGACTACACTATTAAATTATTTGGAAGTATCATCTCACATTGCTTTATGTATCGCAGATGCACTTCATATATGAAGTATCTCGGCAAGAAACTTCACTTGTTTATTTTCTTCACTTCATTTCTCTTCCTTGTATTTCCTCTTTTCTTCTGCATGGCAAACTCATAATAAAAGTAATGATGAATCAAATCCTTTTGAAATACTGTTAGCGAAAATCATTACAAATGTGAACACTTAATGATGAAAGGGGAGATGTACAAGGAGTTACGGTTACGAACAAGAGATGAACCATTAATGGACTGCGACATTAGAGACGTACAAAGGCATTAGATTTTCCGCAACAATGAAACTTATAATTCTGACATCAAGCTGCTCACCTAAAAATTAAAACTTCAAACTTCTGCTAATTTTTCAGAGGGAAAACATACTATTTGGTCCCTATAATTTCATTGGGTTTTCCTTTTAGTCCTTGTATTTTTTGCTAGTGTTTTCAGTGTTTATAGTTTCAAAAAGATTGGGTGATATTTATTTTTCTTGTCCCTATAATTTCAGTGTTTTCAGTCCCTACACTAAAAAAATACTACAGGTATTGAATACAAAAGCTAATGATATTATAGGGACCAAAGATTATGTTTTCTCTTTTTCAGATTACTACCAACAGCAATGAACAATTTAAGCTAAATTTTGCTCCTTTTCCTCCCTACCTTGTCTTGACTTCTTCATTCCCTCTCTCAATGCTTGTACCACCCTAAAGCACTGCCACTTCCCAGGGAAAAAAATTTTGCTCCTCTCAATTTGGTAAACCTTGTAACATTTTAATAAATTATAGGATTTAATCGAAAAGGAAGAAAAGAATTAAATCGGAATTGACATCTGATTAAAGGACTAAAATTGTATTTGTCTAATCGTATTTAATTGTTGCTATTTTTATATCCAGGAAGTTAAGAAATTTAATGATTTTTTTACTGGTGCAGGAAGATACAATAGCAATGAGAAAAGAGATTCAGGATCTTAGGACAAATGCCAGAATTTTTCAGTTAAGCAAGTGTACTGCATGCACTTTCACTCTGGATCTCCCAGCCGTTCATTTTATGTGTATGCATTCGTTCCATTTGCGCTGCCTTGGGGATAATGAAAAGGAATGTCCTGAGTGTGCTCCTGAATACAGGTCTGTCTTGGAAATGAAAAAGAATTTGGAGCAAAATTCTAAGGATCAAGATAGATTCTTCCAGCAAGTGAGGAACTCTAAAGATGGGTTCTCTGTAATTGCTGAGTATTTTGGGAAAGGGATTATTAGCAAAACAAGTAATGGAACCACCTCTGGTCTCAGAACTGGAAGCACATCTTCCAGCAGCGGCTTCTGAGGGCTTCTGAGGTTTGAATTTATGCCACTTGTTTTAAGAATTCTTCTCCATGAAGGGCAAGCCTGCATTCTTGATGTCGATGAACGGAGCTGTGCTTTTCCGTCAGTGCTTGTTGACCAACCTTTTTATACTCTGCTGAAACAGTGTTTGTGTATTTAGTTACCCAAATGTGCTGGCTTTTCAGTTGACTTCTCATTTACTAGGGAACATTCCTGTATGGTCCGGCTGTTATGCTAAAGATTTTTTTTTCCTTGCAGATTTGATGCATGCTTATAGAGATCTTTGACAGAATTATTCTCTGAGTCTTGATTTCCTCTCGGCAAAATATTGGAGAATGCACTGAGGGGAAATGTTGTTTTGGTGTGAATTCGAGGTAGAATTTTTTTATTATCATGGCAGTCAAATTTTTCTGGGATATTACTGAGGAGATTTTAAAGTGTCTTTAGCCATGTAAAAGTGATGAAATTGCAAAAATTTTATTTGCTTGTTTATATATGGCTCATTGCCTCGTTGCTCTGTTCAATTTGACATCTTACCCTTTATTTTATTTTTTGTGGGTACAAATCTCACCTTTTATTTCTATGTTAAATTATTACCATAATCTTTCTTGCTTGCGAAAAGATAATTCGGGTTTGGGGTTTGTCTTCAATCTTCATTTTTCACAGGGAGAATGACAAACAGATTCAAGAGATTAATTAATTTAAATTAAGTCTCAATCAATTTTAAAGTGTCACGTTTTAAGGGTTTTTCAAGTTCAACTTTTAATTTTGTAATTTTATTATAATAAATTTACAATTTATTTTTAAAATTTTAATGTGGTTGAAAAATAAATTAACTTTATTTTCTTTGTTGAATTTTAAATTTATTACAATAAAATTGTAAAATTAAAATTTAAACTTATAAATTTTTAGAGTTTGATGCTTTGAAATTGGTTAATATTTAATTTAAATTAATTGGTGCGCTTGAAACTTGTTTGTCGTTCTTCCTTTTTCATATAGATAAAGGGGGCAGATTGGTAAATTCAAGCAATTGCAAAGAAATTAGATAAAGGCTCAAGTTAGACATTTGAAAAATGCAAAAATAATTTATCATTATCAACCTCTTTAGTTTATTTACTCTTTTTTTAATCTTAATTCAGCCATTTTATATCTTTAATTATTTAAATTTATTTGTATATTTTAAAAATTATTTAATTTTATCTAGTTGAAAAAATAAAAGTTCAATATTTTTAAAAATAGTAAATGTGGAAAAGAAAAATTGATTCCTCCTAAATATCCTTCAAATGGAAGCAATTTTATTTAAGAGATAGTTAGGTATTAAATATGAGTATTTTTTTAGTAAGGATTCAATATTTAAAATTTAAATTTAATTTAAATAGTTTCAATTAGGGTGTTCATGGGCTGGAATAGCTAATAAATAAATAAATAAATAAAAATATATTATGACTTTAATTAAATAAATAAAGTATTAAATAATAATAAAAAATAAAAATAATAATATATTTGAGACATGATATCTCGGCAATAATCTTATCTTGTCTTATCTTGAATATATTTTTATTTTATCTCATAAAATTTTATCCTATTTTTTTGAGGGAGACAAACTCACCAAACATGATTGAGACAAAATTTGGTCAAGAACAAAAATGAACCCTCCTAATTTCAATTAAAAAGAAAGATTTCAGCCAAAAAAATTAAAAGAAGAGGGGCGAAAATGAAAAGTAGAGAAAAAAATATCTTTCATGCTGTGCTTGGTGCTACTAGACGTTGAAGTCCATGCACTGAATAACTATAAATACTCTAAGTTTTTGAGTTTTTTAATATTTAAATTGTACTCCTCTCCTTTGAAAATGTATCACTTTTTTAAGGTTTAGATATTAAAAAAATTAATACTTTTTTGATGCTTTAAGGTATAATTAATGTATTTTTTTCAAAAATACCCATACCTAATAAAGTGCTTTTTATTTATTTTGAAATAATCTAATAAAGTGCTTTTTATTTATTTTAAAATAAAACCTCCACTTAAATACTTTCTTTGGTCCTATTTATTGGGTAGAGAGAGAAAAAAATTTCAGTTTATAAAACACCTCATTTGACCTCTGTTTAATGTTGAAGGAAAAAATATACTATTAAATTATGTATATTTAATAGGAACAAAATTAAAAAATTATTCAATTTCTTAATAGAATAAATGAATTTTAATTTTTTTTTAGTTTTGGTGAAATATATTAAAGTGCCTTATAAATAGGATTAAAGAAATAAGATTAAATATGAAAAAACAATATTAATTTGAATTAACTACTTTATTGAGAGGCAAGATTCGATTAAATATATTTTATATTTTTTTTAAATAAATTGTGTGAAAATAAAATAAATTATTATTTATATTTGTATATTCTAGTAACTAAAAAAACTTTTTATATTGTACTAGGAATAAAAAATATATATTCCCTCCGTTAAAAAATGTAAGGCATTTTTTAAAAAGTTGAATGTTAAAAAATGTAAAACATTTTTAGTTTTTCGAGATGTAATTGATACCTTTTTTTAAAAGTATTCTTATTGATGGTGATTTTATATTTATTATAGGATAGTTAATAGGGATAAATATGAAAAGATGAGATTAGTTTAAAAGTAGATAAGAACTTTATTAAAGAATGAGATTCAATTAAAAATATTTTATATTTTTTAACGGAGGGAGTAATTAATAGTAGTTGCAAAAGAAATTAAAAAATAGTTATTTTAACTTGTCCTTTTTTAAAATAATTAATTAAATTTAACTTTCACTTTTCTCTCCTTTATTTCTCTTAAACATTGTGGATCAATGTTCTAATGTATCACACAAGTCTAAAATCTAGTTATAATAGAAGATTGGGAAGCCATTCTTAACATTGTTGCACTATGACTATCAAATATCAATAGATTCACAATCAAGCATTAGTTAAACAATTTGCCTCGGCAAACTATTGTCCTCATATTTTCCATTAAAATAATTAAATTTTTATAGGACCGTTCACTTGTTGAAAAGAAATTAATTAAAAAATAAGAATAAAAATAAATTAAATTATTTAATCCCTTACATTCAATATGAAAAAACTCAATACCACATATTTTAAATGTAAAAATTATCACTCACTGCAAACCTAAAAAAATCATGACTTAAAATTTCATAAATTAAATTAATCATTCCCATTGTAAATATAATTTATTTATCTCTTCTCCACATCTTAATTATTATATTTTTATTTTTTTTACTAAATTCCATTTCAACAAGCAATCAAGACCATAATCTCCTCTGTTTTTCCCCCCTAAAACATCTTGAGCACTCAATTTAGCAGGGATAGCTATTTGAGGATCACAACAAATAAAACATTTCACCATGTTAACCTGAGGACAAGAAAATTGTTCATAATCCAGACGCTATTCATTATAAAGTGTCCCCATGAGCCTAGAAATACACAACACCAATGTGCAACAGAAAAACAAACTCGAGGAATACATGCAGAAATGAAAAACATGTTTATTTATGACTCTTCAATAATGCCAAGCAACTCCAGGCTATAAATAAAAATAGGGGCAATTCCAAACTCGAGTTCTTTCGAGCTTGAGAGTAATTGTTAATTATAAAATGATCCAAGAGGATTTGAAATCGCGAAGTTGTGATGAAGATCCAGTGCAGCTTCCAAAGCGAAGAGTTAAGTTCTTGTGTTGCTACAAGGTGGTAGTCATGAAATTGTCCAAACGCATCGAAAATATTACAAGAAAAGTTTTCTGTATTCTTCTGCCTCTCGAGCCATCTCCTCGAGGCTCCTGTCTTTCCTCTCCTTATCCAAGTCAAGCTTTTGCTTCAATTCCTTCTCCTTCTGATCCAGCTGCGCCATTGACAAACAGCCAACAACCAACGAGTATTAAATCAATCGGGTCAATATCAACAGCATTGACTTCACCGAAATGAAAATTTCTATCCTACCGCATCATAGATCTCATCATTCTTCTCAAAATCACCACTTATTCTCGGGACGACGTGAATATGAACATGAGGAACAGTCTGCCCAGCTTGAGGGCCATCCTATGCACAGAAAGGTAATTTACTTAGTTTTGTGACATCCAAGAAGCAATACATGCAGCCAGGCAGGCAACATAGTCAATGCAGATAAGGAAAACACTGAATATTGCACAGCGGTCAAAAACCACAAAGCTGAACTCCCCTCATTTACACAATTAAGACGGTAGCTTTGTCCAAGTCTTAGCTCACGAATCAACCAAAACAATGTGCATAACATCAAATGACAGAGAAAGCAGCCACTTTCAAATTTCACCTTAGAAGTTTAGTTACAAAACATTAGACAAGCTGTGTTACAACTCACAACAACAACAACAAGCCTTCTCCCACTAGACGGAGAAGCTGTGTTACAAACAGACAAAAGGTAAATGTAACAGTAACAATTATGCAGTCAAAATATATAGCGAACAAGAGCTGACAAAAAAAAATATTTGTTCAAGTAATCATATCTATCATGAAAAAATTTGTAGAAATGAAATGAAAAGATAATCAAATCAGTCATAGATATAGTACAATTAATTTGGGATTATAGGCTTATAAGAAAGGCGTACAGCCAGGACCAGCAACATCTTCCAGAAATAATATATATACATACATACAGGTGTAAATATTTAAAGGAACAAAGCAGATTGAAAAACTATGAGCACCCTCCTACTGTCTTACTTGGATGGCGAATGTAAGTGAAGACGCCTTGTGGTAATTCTCAAGCTGCCCACCAACTTTTTGTGCCATAAGCCATAAATCAGAAGTCTCTTCAGCAGTGAGATCAACAAATCTCTTCACTTCCCGCTTTGGACAAATAAGCACATGTGAAAACTGCTAAGTCAATCAAATTAACTAGATGAAGCTTATTTTTACAAATCTTATTCTTAATGCTTGAGGTTTTTAAGTCAGGAACAGTGTGAAATCAGCATATGCCAAGTCTAGTCATTCCACCAGCATCTTCAAACAGATGTTGGCAGGCATGGGGGGAAATGTTATGTTATATAGCTATTCCCAAATAAACAAGCCAAATGCCCAACCAAACATGCTTTCCCTGATGGAATACTCAATTAATTACATGGCTCGCGTGTAAAATATCAACACTGTCATAAGGTGAATGAATACGCGAAGATTGCCCTAGAGTCAATGATTAATTGCCGATTGCCGTGAGCTCACTGTGTTCCAAACCAATGAGTCTTCATCTATCTATCTATAATTTTATAACGCATCTGTATATAAGTATTGATGTCCTACATAACGCAAAACAGGTAAGTTATACGACTAAAAAATGCAATAATTATCCCAAACCAGCACAGTATTGCTGATATTCATAAAAGGATATGACCTGAAAAAAGACGATGAAAATTAATCAACAAAGATTCTCTTTTCAGATATGGGAACGCAAAAACTTGGGAAACAGTATCGCAAAGAAGACAACTTGTAAGCCCCTTTTACTGGATTCACTGCTCTTCGAACGAGAGAGGAAAAACAGGCGGACAGGACTACGAACATACCAGGAAGAAGAGGACGAAGATTGACCATAGCATAAGAGAGATGGGTGGAATAGAAAACTTCACTCTGGTGTATCTTGTAAGGCCCAAACGTGTAGTATTCCGCAGTCATCTGCGAAACGCGTCGAATAAAAGCCGAAATTTGAGATGAAAGCCACAGGAGTGAGCAATTTTACGGTCGAAATCTGGAAGCGCTTTGAACTTACCCTGACGCTGGACGAGAAGATTGGTCGAGCTTTAACTGGTGCTGAAGAACGTCGAAGACGCCAGTGATGATTGAGAGCAAGCGAGGGCACTAGGCGCAGCAACAGCTGCTTTACCATTTTCCCCTTTAAAAGGTTGTATGAACAAGTAACAAATATCTAAGTGTTTAAAAAGGTGTTGAGAATTAATTAATAAAAAAAAAATTAAATTCTTAGTATAATTTATTTAGACATAAAAGATATATAAAACTTTATAGAATAAGTATTTTTAATTTTTTATTAAATATAAAAAGATTACAAATTTAAATTGAAAATAGGAACTAATTGTTAAAACTAAAAAAGTTACAAGTGTAGAATGTGAGTCTTTGTTGAGTATTAATTATCTTTTTTTTTTCATTTTTATATTTTATTTATATTGTCAAAGTGATAGTAGCTTTTTTTTAAGACTTAAAACATTTTGTTGAAGAATTAGAGATCCCACGAAACTCATGGCATAGTTTTTACTCAATGTTTTTTATTTTTTATAATCAATTGTCTCACTGAAATACTTGAGCACGATGATACTGCTTCCATGATTTTGAGATCACTTGAGATCGTTTCTTTACGTATCAACAGTATAATGTTTGCAATTGGAGAAATTTTAACATGTTCATCCTATTGTGGCCTTTTATTAAGTTCAGGGCCAGTCATTTTATTTAAATTAAGCTTGATTTTTCAATTACTCAACCCAAATAACTTTATAACCCTGAGTGACATTTCATATTTTAACTCAAACAAGTTGAAATGACCCCCCTCTTTTTATAATGCATTTTTATTTATTTTGGACTAGGTTATGACCAATAAAAAACTTAAGAATCGTATTTTAAAAAATAAAAATAAATAAACAAATTTTTTTATTGCACAAGTATCTTATTCACGACACAATAAAATATGAAATATGAGGGCATCCATCTGCAAAAATTTGACCTGGTTTGACACTTCTACTTGTATGCGTTGCAACATACACACTGTATAATGACTTATATATAGACTTGTGCATCCATATCATTTTGCATTTGCCTTTTTTTCCCTTCCCAACTTTTGCTTTTGCCCATTTCATTCGGATTGTGAGCACTGTGGTTAAGTAATAAATGGAGATAGCAGTTCAATTATCTTTGATGAACGTGTGCGGGGTTTGATCTGGAGAATGGGCCCAAAAGTCCGATCCTTTTACATGGAGGGCCTTGCATAATTCTCTAGCCACAAGAGAAAACCTGTATCGCAGAAAATGTGCGCCGAATCCACTTTGCCCTGTCCACGAGGAAGAAGCGGAGACCACCGAGCGCCTCTTCCTTCGTTCGTTGCTCATGGACCCAGGTACAGGTAACTTGCCCTTAAGTTTGTTTATCACTTCTCTGGATACCATTAATTTGGGTCTTTGGCTAGAAAGTGTGCTTTTGCCTGACAAGCCTAATATGAATTATATGAAAGCCTACATCCTTGCAATCTGCGGGTACAGTTGGAAGTCACATTGTAAAAAGGTGTTTGAACATGTAGACCCCAACCCTGTGCAAGTTATTGACAAGGTTAATTGCTCCACGAGGGATTTTCGGGATGCCCACTCCTTTTATGAAGCAGAGGGTTTAAATAAATCAATAGACGTTGTTACCAAGTGGAAGAAGCTTGCGGATGGGATAGTCAAAATTAATTGTGATGGGGCATTTTGTGGGCAAGCTGGGAAAGCTGGTTTTGGCCTTGTAAGTAGGAATTCTAAGGGCTATTTTCTCAAGGGTCGGACCAAAAAAAAAACAAAAAAGAACTCTGATTCTTCATTTCTTATAGAACCTTTGGCTCTTCAAAAAGGAATTTGCTTAGTTGATGAACAGCTGTACGAAGATGTAGTTATTGAAACAGATTGTAGTGAGTCGTTTAAAGCGGTGTGTTCACAGGATTATACCCATTGCCTTTGGCAATATCATGGTGTTATGGATGATGTCTTTGACATGTTGATGGCTCGAAGAATGATCCCTTTCTCTCTTGCTCCCAGTTTAGGTAAAGTTGTCGTCGACCATCTAGCTCCTTTGGCTTCGAGGGAGATGGGACCCAATGGTCTGGTTTCAACACCCCCATCTCCTCTAGTACCTATCACTCTCCAAGAAGCAAATGTTGATGGCATTTATTGTGATGACAAACTCTTTGCATAGGCAAACAGAAAAGGCATTGATTAATGATTTGTTTCCTTTTTGTAATTTTTCAACCTGTAATTGTCATCATTTATGCCTTTTATTTCGTTTGTTGTACTTGGACTTCTTTGCTTCTGCTTAATGAACTTCTCTTTGCTGGTGATTAAAAAAAAAAAAAAAAGAAGTAATAAGTGGGACAATGAACTCAATACAAATATATTTAAGTTGGAATAACATTCAAACTGAGACGCAGCCCAGCTTTACCCAGTTAGCTTTAACATATATTTATCAAAATTATCATCAAAGACACTTTCTTTCAAAATAATAAAAGAGAGGCAGCAAAAAAACCTTCTAAAAGGCTGACATGAAAGAGAGAGAGTTCACTCATTTCTTCATTGTGATGCTCAATGAGTTGTTTTAAATTATTCATTGGTTAAATTCTCAGAGCAATTTCTTTATAAAAAAAAAAAGAATTCATGGGATTATCTCTAAACTATAAGTTTAAAAATATTTAAAACTTTAAATTCATTTTTAATGCAGTGTCCTCTTTTAATTTTTGAAAATGATTTAATGTCACCCTTATGAATAACAAGTGTTACTTTTAACCATTAATTGATAAAAAATTATAAAAAAAGACTTTAAAAATTATAAAAAAATTACAAATAAGTAGTACTCATTTGTAGGTTGCACATAATCGGGTAACAGTGTGACCCAACATGCCATTTGAGCTAGCCTGACGTGAGTGTTTGAGCCAGGTTTGACCCGATTGGCCCCAAACAATTTTTACAAGTATTTTCTTTAAAAAATTTAAAAAAGTTTTCTTAAAAAAATATTATTATTACCATTTAAAAAATATTTTTTAAAAAAACTAATACGAAAATCAAAAGTAATTTTTTTAAAAAAGTACATATTACCAACAACTGTCAATTATTTTAACAAAATATTAAGTCAAAAATAAATTTTAACTTTTAAAAGAAATTTAAAAATTGCAATGATAAGAAATGCCCAAAAGTTCATAAAAATAGTATAGTCTATGAAAACTTTCAACAACGAATAATACCATAAAATAAATATTATTAAAAAACTTAAAACAAAAAAGGCACATGTTCAAGTCGAGCAAGGTTTGACTCTTACCTGGAGCCCAATTAGATGCTTGGATCGAATGTCAGAATATTTTGAGTGGGGCCTGATTGATTGGGTATTTGCACTATAGAAATTAAATTTTATAATTTTTGAAGTATATTTTATAATTTATAATTAATTAACAATCAACATTAAATGTCATTAATGATATAGGCAATATTGTAATATTTTTAAAAGTTAAAGAAAAAGTTTTTAAAAAAACGAATTTAGGATTGTAAGACACTCAAAAACATATAATTGTCCTAACTCCAAAAACTAAAACATAGAAACTGTCCAACATCCAGCCCAGCCCAATATGCTCATCTCAAACAGCATCAACGTTCAGGAATCATGAAATGGGTCTAAAACTCGGTTATAGGGATAAAGTCCGAGCTGTATCTCTAACCGGGAAAAAATAAAAAAGGTGAGAGTCTCTCAAGTTTCTCTGACACTGCTCTATCCAGTCGGATAAAATATAGGTTCCTTACGGTCGAGCTGCTCTGCTCTTGGACAATGGCGTCCTTCTGCAACGCCGTTATGGCTACCAGTAGCGACAGCAGATGGAGTATGGCGTCACTCCGATCAGCTTTACCTTCCGTTCCTCCTCCCTCTTCCTCCGCCTCGCGGTGCTTCCCTCTCTCTGTAACGTTCCCCTCATCGTCATCTGGGTCATACGGGCGACGAATTTCTCAGGTCAAATCCAAATCGTCCCTCGGATCTTTCAATGGGCTTTCTCCTCAAAACCCTTTGTTATTTTCGGGTGCGACCTCAGGCAGGAGAAATCAATTTATCTTAGCTTTGTTGTTTATTTATGGCCAGTTTTATGTGCATCGCCATGATTCTGATCCATTTATCCTGGTTTGTTCCTGGGTTGCCTATATTTCCGCTATGTTTATGCAAATGTTATTGTAATGGTTTGTCTAATTTATGCCTAGTAGTAGTTTTCATGTGTCGTGGTTTCATTGTGGCAGCTTGCTATAATTCGTGGACATCTATTCTATTTTTTTTCCTTTCGCCTTTTCTTTCTTAAAATAAAATGGGTGAAGTTGTTGACTGACCCACTAGGCTTGACTTGTATGCTAGAAAAAGCAATATTTTCCCTTTCTTTTCTCCTAAAAGAATGGCGGTGTGTGCATACGTTAATCTTGTTTCTTTCTGTCTGTTATGCTTAGGATTTCAGTTTATTGTGCCGTATTAGTTGAATCTGCCGTCTAGAAATTGCTACTTGAATATTATAATTTGGATGTTTTTTGGCAGATTGCTTTCCATTGATGTCGTTTATAATTGGAAGAGTTCAAGTCTATATGATGTGGATTCTTTGAATTGTAATCATTTCAAACAATTTTTTCTGGTGTAGTCTATGGTCGCCATGCCATGACCTTTTATCCTGAGTCAGCATAATTATCAAATTATTGACTTTAACAACTTAAGAGCCTGGATTGTGCTCATTAGTAGAGATTATTGCTGATACTTTCTAATTTAGATCGGCTATTTGATTCTCTCATGACTTGAGCTCTTGTTGTTGTTGACGTAACATGTGAAGGGGCTGAAAAGTTTTGGTCCTATACCTCCTGTTATGTTAATGGAAGAAAATGATGGGGGCTAGTGTTTTTGTTGATATTCTATGGTATCACTCTCGTATTTAGACAAGTAGTCTCTTACTCCAATGCATTAGGTGTACAACAATTTCTCACTGCAGAGGTTATTTAGTTGTTATATTTGTATGTGAGTTGAATATCAGTTTCAGGGGGGGAAACCTATCGCATGGACTTCTGGTTTGAATGCTTCAATCAGAAGCTTTGTTGGTTGTTTGCTTTGTGGTTGATGTGGTAGAAAATTGGATACTAGAATCTATACGATATGGCTGCTTTAATTATAGCAGTTTCAACCACATCACTTTGTTAGTTGACCCCGAGTCCGACTTTAGCATAATAACCAAAACATTAAAGTCAGTATGGAGATTGAAGCCTTGATTGCGCTCACTGCCTATAGATTAGCGGTTATACTGTTGAAAGCAGAACTGCAAGTGTTCTGAACTTTTTCCCCTGCATCCGTTGAAATTTATGATAGCTCTCCAGTAGTTAGACTAATAATTTTTTAGCAGTGAGATTGGAGGTGCAACATCTTCTCATGTGAGATGATGTTAAGGTCGTACACGTGCCTATTGGAATTAGATGCTTATTTAAAGTTGTGGAATTATGATTTAGGAACAACAACAAAAAGCCTTATCCCACTAGGTGGGTTGACTACATGGATTATATGACGCTATTGTGCTCTATCATTTATTAAGTTTTTAGAAATATTGTTAATTAAGAGGTCTCGACTTTCAAAAGTGTTCTCTTTAGCCTACCTCTATCTTTCTTGACAGGACAAGACTCAAAGTTGTTGATTTTACTCTTTTTACAAGTGCCTCCCGTGGCCTTCTTTGTTCAAGTCCAAACCACTTTAAATGATTTTCTACTATTTTTCCTTTAATGGGTGTGACGCCTACTTTTCTCTTGTACTCTCATTTCTGATTTGTCTTTACATATATGCCCGCACATCCATCTCAACATTCTCATAACAGCTACTCCAACTTTATATTCTTGCTATTTCATTAAAGCCTGACATTCACTACCATATAATATTATTGATCTTATGGCAGTTCGATAAAACTTCTTTTTAAGTTTATTTCTAATTCAAGAACTTCAAAATATGATTTAGGAACTGCTGACCAAAATATTTCAATTAAAGAACTTCAACCAATAGAGGTTGTTCATCTATTATTTATGAAGTTTGTGTTTGAAAATTGTTCGCCATTCTTTTGGCTAATTTCCTTCAGGATTTTGGCTTTAAGAGCTTCCAAACTGTGGCTGTGATTGAAATTGTAAACAAAGAAATGACTGGGAACAAAAATAAGCAAATAAATAAAAGCTTGTGTGACATTATTAATGTGTGTGATAATAGTAATGCTTTTTCAATGGAAAGTTAAGAATGGAGGAGCTTCCATTATTTTACTATCTCATTCTTTTGTAACTCGATGATTTGAAGGCATCGGCAAGATGAGCACCCTAAATCCATTGGGAGAGCATACTCACAATCATCGCTTGGAGTTAGTAAAGAGATGATTTAAACCCCCCCCCCCCCCCAATGGATTTCATGTATAGATCACTTTGCTGATTATTTGAATGCCACATACTCTGAGTAATGGATTGAGTTTTAAAGGTGTTTATTATCCTAATTGTTAGATAAAATAATCTGATAGGATTAATCACCTCATGTCATATGGCCGCATCAGACCACCAGAGCAAGAGCCAGGCAATTAGGAAGTATGTTGATAAGATGATTACATTAGCAAAAGACGGTTCTCTTCATAAGAGGAGACAAGCCCTTGGCTTTATCTATGAGAAAACAGATTGTTCATGCTTTATTTGCAGAAGTTCAGGACCGATATGGCGAAAGAAATGGAGGCTACACAAGAATCATCAGAAACCCTGCCAAGGCGGGGGTGATAATGACCTATGGCTTACATTGAACTTGTTTGCCTCTGATTTGACAGTGGATTCTTGCGAAAATTTTTTGTAATGTTCACTTATGTTATATCTTGCTGCCTAAGTTTGTATTTTTCTTGTATCCCTCCCTGCCAGAACAATTTATCTCTGCTCTTATTTTTTATTCTCTGCATATTGAAAATCTTGATTCTAAGATACTTTAATTTTATTTTTAATTATGTTAAAAAATTTTAACTTAAAATTTAATTTGCCCTTATAATCTAATTTTATATTCTTTCACACCTCAATTTAAGAAACTTTAACTAATTATGACAATACTTAAATAAAAAATTTAGAAAGTGTTTAAATTAAAACAAAATAAATATGAATATATTGAGTAATTTATTTTTGATTTTATATTTCATCCCTATTTCATTAATTTTTTTACATATATGTTTGAAACATTATTTTAGAAAAAATATGTATTTATATTTTTAAAAAAATTACTAATAAAATTTTGGTAATTAATTAAAAATTTTAAAATATGAATAAAATTTAAAAAAATATATATATTACTCCATCCCATCCGTTAAAATGTAAGATATTTTAATTGAATATCACTTTCAATAAAGCAATTAATTAGTTTTAAACTAACCCTTTATTTTCAATACTTACTCTTGTTAAATACCCTATAATAAATATAAATCATTCATCAATATAGGCATTTTTGAAACAAAATAATGATTATACCTTAAAAATTAAAAATGCCTTATATTTTTTTTACATCCAACTTCTCAAAAAATACTTTACATTTTTAAATGGAGGCAATATTTTTTTTGGATATTTTAAATGATTTTTAGATAATATCTTAAAGGAGTATCTTCACCTAATATATATGATTTAAAGATTAACTAATAGTTAAATGGATGAAATATAATTTTTGTAAATAGGATGGATGTTTGCATTTTAAAAACTATTGATTCTAATGGAAGTTAATATATGCTTTAAAAATATGAGGGAGGTATATATAATTTTGGCAAACTAGTAGCTAGAAGGAGGTTGACATGTTTTACTCAAAATTAAAGGCTAATGTAAAGCAAAACACATTTACGTCACAGTGTGTGTGTGTGTAACTCAACTAGTTTCTCACACTTTAGAGGAGGATGCATGAAATACTACATTGCCAATCATATCATGAGCAGTTGGTTAAAAAAAAAAAAATTCAACATCATGAGCAGCTACAGCCCAGTTGGCCATTCTTTCGACAAAGCATTCTCTTTAACAAGTGATTCTCACGGAATCATTTTTTTTTTTTTAATGAACAAGTTATATTCACAAGAGCTAAAAAAAAAAAAAATTCACTTTGTACATCTATTTCATATTGATTTGTAAGGGTCGCAAGAATTCATTAGGATGGTTGCAATTGGAGAATGTTTAAATTTGCAATTTCACAGCAAACTATATTTTAAATAGAAAGAAATCTTTTCTAAAATTGACATATCATTTAAATCAATTATACAATTACTATATATCTTACATTGCTAAGCAACTTTTGACCATCTTAAGTTAAGTTGGATGAATTGAAAAGGAAGTTTTATTGAAACTTGCTTTGCTTATCACATCAACTTTGTGGCATCAAAAATAACATTAACAAACTTATTAAACTTGTGTTATAAAAAAACAAACTTATTAAAATTGAACCAATTGTGAGGTGACATTTACATCTGATTTAATTTGTATTTTTTAATACTTTTAAAAGAAATATTTGATTGTTGAACAGCTGTCAAATTTTACGTTTCTCTTCCATTGAACCTACCACTAACAGGCTTATCCGGTATTTGGTTTTTTTCCATAGATAAAACAACTTTTGCTATAATCCTTGGATTATATAAAGAGCTACTAGGTTTTTAGGGTAAAATGTAGTAGGATTTTCTCAAATTAATTGCCGGCGGAGATTTCGTAAATTTTTCAAGAGATCTAAGCATTCGAAACAATAGATAAATTCATGTATGGTCTTAATTGAAATCGGTAATTTCTTACTCTTATCTTCGTGTGTATGAAATTGATTGAAGTTTGCATCTCAAAGTTGATATATATATATATATATATATATATATATATATATATTTATAAATTGATCTTGACTCAATCTAAATCTAAGTGAGTCTAGAATTCTAGATCTATCTTCAAAATTTTTTAGATTTTTTTACTTGTGATTTCATAAATTTTGGTTGTTCAATTTGTTGTACTTCTAGTCAAACCCTCTTCTCGCAGAGTGAAATTCATTTTCCCATCTAAAGCGCATTCTTTCAATTGATGTGTAGATCTCTCCATTCTCTTGAAATGCACTCTCCATTCTCCATATTGTTTAATTCATAGCGTAAGGATGCTGTCTTCTTTTTTCAATTCAAATCTCTTCTCATTTTCTCCATCTGATTTGAATCTGTTGGCTTTTGGGAAATTTTCATAAATCATGTATGTTTTTTTATTCGACATTGAGCTGTCTAATTTTCATTTTCAACCGTCTTTGCTCTCTCTCTCTCTCTCTCTTCCAATTCTCGTAATTGTGATATCTCCGTTGGAATTAAAAAAATAATTTATTTTAAATAATTTTTATTGTCTAGTAAATTGATCTTTTTTCTTTTTCTAAAAATAAAAATATTTTTAATAAATCTAACTATTTAGATTAATGCAATGATCAATTTTTTTAAATGATCATCAATTTTTCAACCGAATAAAAATGCATCCATTTTTCCATAATTTATTTTTCTTTGTCAATTTTTTCTTCAGCCTTGTATTTATTTTATCATTCAGATTTCAGATTTCAGAATTGTGGATTCTTTCTCTATATTAAATGTTTATTACATTTATCTCATGCAATAATTTAGTAATTTACCACATGTAAAATTAAAGCTACAACAAATAGTATGTAATCATTACTAATACTACTACCTCCCTGTTCTCGAATATAGGAGAATTACAACAAACTTACACAGTTAAAAAATTAATTAACCTTAATAATTATGTTTGAAGTTGAAATGTTTGGATTGAAATGTCCTTATAATTAATCTTTACTTTTTTTTTCTCTATATTTATGATACCATTCATTTATGAGGAACAATTTGAAAAAAAATGTGATTAATGTTTTTTAAAATTTGTAATTTTGCTTATACTAAAAAAGTACAGGATAGTTTGCTTTATATTTGACAACGGAGAGAGTATGGCTTAAAAGAAAAGGTCAACTATTTTGGTTACTATTAACCTATATCAAGGATCAATTAATGCTCATTGCTTGAAAAATACCAAAGGTTTTCCGGAGTGGTCTTCGATTGGAGATAAATCAATTTAATGTACATTTACATAGTAATCGCTGTAGAACATAAAATTTGTAAGTGTTAAATTAAATAATAAAACTCATTGATCATTAATCTCTGTGTAATCCATTGAAAAATTAATTTTGCATTCTGACCCATTTTTGAAAATAGATGTTTAGACTGTACTTTATATGTTACATGTATATGACCTCAGTTTAGTATTTTACTCATCTCAGCCATTTGAGCCATGCATCTCTCAAAATCACAAACTCTTCTATTACAAAATGAAGACTTCTGTGGGTGTGCATGCTTCTTACTTTTATGCAATATTTATCCATGAAATCAATTCAATCAATGTGACCTTGAATCGTTTTGAAAGATTAAAGAGAGAAATCTTGTATGATCACAGCACACAGTGTTGATATATAGTAGGGAAAATGAGTAAAGAGGATATAGAACAAGTACCAAGGAGACGAAGTGCAAGAATTATTGCATTGGAGCAGAAGCGCGGGCGAGAGAAGAAGGCACAAGAGGAAGCCAAAAAGAACTGCCCAGATCAGTACAAAGGAAAAGCTGTTATTGGTGAAGAAGATGATAATGACTTCATAGATGATGAAGAAGAGGAAGAAGAAGACGATGAGTATGCTCCAAGAAAGAAGAGAGGACGCAAGAGTAGACCACTCAATCAACTCATATCTTTGACTCAGGTCTCTCTTTATGATTTTCATATCTGTCTAACCACTTTATTTATGTTTATTTTCCTTGGCATGTATAAAGTAATAATTAAACACGCCCTATAAAAAGGAACAAAAGAAGTATATTCACGTTCAGAAGTTTGAGAGTAGACTGCTTATATGCAAGATTGGGAGGTGTCTTATGATAACGTTTGTGGAAAGCAAATACCTATATGGATTGGCTGGCATAGAATGCATTTTTTTTTTTCGGATCAACGTCAAAACATAATAAAATTATGGAGCCACTTTAGAGTGTTTAACCACCATGGATGATGACCTTAGATACAAACATACAGACATGCATCGGTTAACTATCTTCTTATTCGGTTTTGTTGTCAAATAATCTGTAGGCATTTGTCTCCGTATATGATTCAAAAAAAAAAAAAAAAGGTTTTAAGAGTGAACTCTCAACCTCTCAAAACGATGATGTTTTTCGACAACAAAATCTAACAAATGCAGTAGGCAGTGGAACTGACCATTGTTCATCTATCAACGTGCTTGCCAGATACGCTAATAGAAAGGACTTAGAGTGGCTTTTAGTTGGATTATTTGATATTGCATTTTGCACCCCTTGGGATCTCTTATATTCACTTTCTTTATATGTTTTTAGCCAATTCAGGAAGGACAAAACGCTGAGTATTTAAGTACTTCAAGAAGAAATGGTAAGCTTGTTAATTAGCTACATATCTCACCCTTTGATAGTGTTATTTTTTTCCCTCTGCTAAAGTAATCATTATGTTTGAACTTTGTTCTTTACAGGGTTGCCCAGAATACTACCCAAGGACACTCTTGAATTTGTGCTTGACCTCCTACAAAGGTGAAAATTATTGCATATCTCTATCTCACTACATTTGTTTGAGCAATCTCAGAGATCAAGGAATTATGAAATGATCAAGAATCTCAGGGTATAAACTGTAAATTATGCAGGCGGGATCCAGACGAGTTTTTCTCTCAGCCTGTCAATTCTAATGAAGTCAGTTCTTATCTCATCTTTTCAAAATCTAATTCAACCGTTTCTTGTTTTATTGCATTACGCCTTCTCATGTTGCTATATTGGAGTTTTGCTTTGAAACGTTCAGGATATTGATTAATACTACAGAATTATCTTCCTCTTTTTTTTTTTTTTGAGCTATATCCATGCAAGT